AAATCAATATCAACTAAACACACTCTAGTCAAGTGTAAGTGGTGTAGTAGAAACTAATCGAGTATAGTTTGGAGATGTCTTTTTTTACTAAGCTCCTCCAAACTATACACGATCAGTACGCAAAATTCGTGTATAGTTTGGAGTCACAGATTTACAAACGGGCACTCCGAAATATACACGAGCAGTTTCCTATGGGTGCGTTCTGGCCATGTATAGAACGGAAAGACGCCTCTTCTCTCCATAGGTTGTCTGGAAGAGATCGCTGCACAACGATAAGACCGCCTATTGTGCCTTTGGGAGCATTCAAGTATTACGTAACGCAATTTTTGAAGATTTTAGACTCCCCCTCCCCCCCTTGTAACGCACCGTAACGTTTTTCTGTACCCCCCCTCCCCCTCTCTAAACGTTACGTAACACTCAAGTGACCATTTAACAGATGGATAGCGATTAATCCCAACTTAACAGTTTTATAGCTATAAAAGTTGGCTCAAGCATAACTACCTATTTTTTGAAGAAGTGACTCTGGATCCTTCTAAAGACACATTTTTGGGGTAAAAACCTTTCCTTTAATGAAATTAAGTTTAGAACTAGGCTTTTAAATGGTGCCAATATTGGTGGGAAGTGGGGATGCATACGTTCGAAAGTGCTTGTCGCGGGAGGTGCGATTTATTTGATGTCGAGTGTATAAACGAAAAGGTTTGCCAACTTGCGAGAACAAATGAAAAATGACGACCAGACTATAATACAATTGAAGGATTCCCCGTAAAACGTAAACGAAAAGGGTTGCCAATTTGGGAGTTTTAATTCCCTAAATTTTTATTAAAAAAAAGAAACAATGTTACGTAACGTCTTGTAAGAAAGACCCCCTCCCGCCCCTGTAACGCATCGTAACGTTTTACGAGACCCCCCTCCCCCCCAAATTGCGTTACGTAATACTTGAATGCTCCCTTTCCGTGTGTTTCTTTTTTGTTCTTATTCAATGTGGTGTGCGACAAAGATCTCAAAATACAAGGATTGTTATTTAATTTGCATCAGCTCTATCACTTTTCCTTTAGGACCCACATTAAAATCGAAAAACCTTACCTCTATTTACTATTGAGGATATTTTTTACTATGGCCTAACCCCCATATCATCTCTTCATCTATCTAAATTCTTGACTAGATTATTCTATGTAGCCCAAGTTTTGATATTAAATCACAGGCTTGATACACTAGAGTTAGAATAGAGGTCTGAAATGTGTTTCATAGATAACAAGCCTTTTTAAACACTTACAACTTGGATTGACTTTATCCAACAGTATGGGCAAAACATTTTTTCACCTTTTATTTACTCAGTAACTTGCAAACCAAGCATGTAATTACACACGAAACAATTTTTCCCAGAAATATCAATACCAACACAAATTCGTGACGATTTTCTTCAAAGTACGTCATAAAAGAACATTAATTTACTCAATACTCTTAAGGTGACTCATGTTTTATTAATACTTTTCCTTGTTTTAGGGTGTACCTCTGCCGACTTCCAGCGGGGGTCTCGTCGACTCGCCTACAGACGATGACTTCGATATTAGTAAGGTACTGGCGCAACCTATTTTTATCCGACCTCAACAAAAGCACGGTAATACTATCTATACAGTATTCCAACTCGGCCATATTTTTTAAATAAATGTCAACAGCCGCGCGGTACGTCACAGTATGACAACATGCGATAGGGCTGCCCACCTACAGTACCCAGTTTAATTACATCTGCCTACTTAGAATTTCTATCTAGTTTTGTGATTGTATTTTTTTATTTAGTTAGACAAACAAAATACTTTGTGAATGGAATAGGTTAAAAATGTGTGTTGTTTTGTTATTAGTAGATTTAATTTAGTAAAAACTACTTAAATGATTTCGAAACTTTAATAATCATAATGATCTGTTACTTTAATTTCGGGCGGGCGAGGTTGTGGGCAAAAGCTGGTTTGATACAATATAATTTTCATTTCAAATCAAACTGACAGAAAATGACAATTTGACTAGTTTTTGACCAATTTGACCGTAAATGACGGTCAGTCAAATTCAATCAGTTTTGTCATTTTAAACATTTGGCCACCGACGTCCATTCGGCACATTCGCGACACCCCCGACTTTTGCATACCGAGCGCATATCGAGATTTGAATTTGGAAAAAAGTTCTCGTTTCGTCTGTTTATATGAAGTTACAATACTGTATGATATTATTACCGTGACAAAAGAAAGAGGTTCTCAATTCGGTTGGTATATATTTTTTATACAGGATGTCCCAGAATCGGTGAATCAGACTGCTAGTAGAGGTAGCTCTATTAATGTACTATCCCAAAAAATATGAAAAGAAAAAAATTGAGTTTGGATTTATTTTTTAAATAAAGTGCTCTAAACTCGAAATCTAGTCATTATTTTCAAAAGTTTGTTTACAGATAAACGAAGCGATCATGTACAATTAATATTAGTAAGAAAAAAGTACAAATAAACTCCAAAAGCAGCAATTATAGCCAGATACTTAGGCAAAGCTGATTTATTATCACTTTAAAAAATTTTTTTTTTGTTTCCTTATGCGCTTTATTTTTTTTCATATTTTTAAGGATAGTACATTAGTAGAGCTACCTCCCCTAGCAGTTTGATTCACCCATTCTGGGACACCCTGTATACGGACACCGATTACGCCGAGATTTCTGTGCCGATTTACGTGATTCTTGTTTTGATCGATGCGGAATAGTTGCCATTTGGTTTCATAAGAATTTTATTTAATTTGGTTGAGCAGTTTTTATTGTATGAGCATTTTTAGTTTTGTTTACCATAGAGGTCATTTTTGCATGTTAATGAACGCGGCGTGTGCGCATGTTTTCTTCGATTTGATGTTATCGGGTTTCTATTGAAGTTGGATCCACTTTGTTGCTACTACATTTGTTTGATTTGCTTAGAATATCGACTATAGATACCTGTGTTTAAATTATTATTATTTATAGACATTTTGGCCGCGGCTTCGTCCGCCTGCAATTTTGTCTGTCAAAGAAAAACTTTGTCGAGCGCGTCCCTGTTTAAAAAACCGGGATAAAAACTATCCTATGTCCTTTCCCGGGACTCTTTATCTCTATGCCAAATTTCATCAAAATCAGTTCAGTGGTTTAGGCGCGAAAGCGTGACAGAGTTACTTTCGCATTTATAATATTAGTAGGGAAGGAATGGACAACACGCATAAGTTGTAATATTAAGTTAAATTATGACTTAATTTAAAGTTTAGATCACACACATTACACTAGTTTTTATTTCACCTCAATCCATCCAGTATTACCGAAGATAGAGCCTCGAGAAGTTTACGGACATTTTAAAATTTTCAAAAATTTCCAATATTCGCGCGTGACGTCACAACATGATTTTGCAGCCCCCGCACGTTAACCCATTTACCACTTTTTGTCTTTTTCCAACTAAAATAAAATTTTACCTAACTGACAACTGTTGTTAGTTGTCATCGTTCAATCACATTTCAAACTAGGCGCTAAAAAAGTAACCATTATTATGCCACCTATTGCCAATTTTGTGCACTATGAAGCCATTTTTACATTTATGCACTTAAATATAAATTTTCTGGAAAAATAACCAAGTTTGTGTCTCTGTGCTCAATAACGAGTAAATAGTCCAGTTATTTGTTAATTTTGGTGTTAGGTAAATGGGTATATGAGCCGACACTAGCCCATGTTAACATGGGCATATAAATGGTATGGTGAAGTCAGAAATTTGATATCATCATTTAATTTTTTTAAATATTCATACTAAATATTTTTTATAAAATCCGACTTGTATGAAAATTTAAATAATTAAAATGAAGATATCAATTTTCTGACTTCACCATACCATTTATATGCCCATGTTAACATGGGCTAGTGTCGGCTCATATACCCATTTACCTAACACCCTGTATAAAGCCGACACCAGCCCATGTTAACATGGTCATATAAATGGTATGGTGAAGTCAGAAAATTGATATCTTCATTTTAATTATTTTAATTTTCATACAAACCGGATTTTATAAAATTGGTTTAGTATTAAAATTAAAAAAATTAAAATGATGATATCAAATTTCTGACTTCACCATGCCATTCATATGCCCATGTTAACATGGGCTAGTGCCGGCTCATATACCTATTTACCTAACACCCTGTATAGGCGCCATGTCTTAAAAAAAAATTGTTTTTCTCAAATCCTATCGAGTGGGTTATCAAAATAAAGGGCTTTTAAGTAGCTTGTTATAACGAATGTTCGTAATGCAAAATTATGAGTTCATCATAAAAAATTGCGTTGCAATAACTGCCCAAATCAGACGTGTATTTGCGAAGGACTTCATCATGACTCGCAAATTCGCAATATTGTTAAACTACCCTAATATTTCAACCCCTTCGTCCCCAGACAACGTCATCAACAGATAGCAGAGAGAACGACATCCGAGCAGAAATCATGCGCAACGTCGCAGCTATACCCATGCTGAAGTACGAAGAACTGAAGGAAGCTACAGGCAACTGGAGCGCAAGCAATTTGCTTGGACAGGGCGGCTTCGCGCAGGTGTTTAAAGGTCAGTTTCCTTTCACTTAGACTCTTGTATGACTAAGGCCCAGTTTTTAGACTCATAGTTAAAATAACTAATTGTTAAATTTTACTGCTAATGGTTAAATATTAACAAAATGTTAACTAATAGTTAAAAAATGTACTAAAAGTCAAGCTAACCATTGTTCGAAAAACATTTTTTTTTCTGATATTTAACCACTTGTCATTTGACATCTGTCAAATTTGACTATTGGTTATTTTAACTACGAATCTAAAAACTGGGCCTTAGGCCCAGTTTTTTGATTCATAGTTAAAATAACAAATTGTTAAATTTTGCTACTAATGGTTAAATATTAACAAAATGTTAACTCATAGTTAAAAAATGTACTAAAAGTCTAGCTAACCATTGTTCGAAAAACATTTTTCTCTGATATTTAACCACTTGTCATTTGACATCTGTCAAACTTGACCATTGGTTATTTTAACTACGAATCAAAAAACCGGGCCTAAGGAGGATGTAATGTGGACTGAGTGAACGCTGCGGGAAGCACCTGGATGCGGGCAGAGTATGAGCGATGGAAATCCTTGGGAGAGGCCTTTTTCCAGCAGTGGACGTCCTTTTGCTGAAACGAACGAAGTCTTATGTAAGTTCGCAGTCGAACTTAAGTCACAACATCCAAGGCGTTCCATGATTTTGTGTGTGAAATATGGCTCTTGAGTTTACGTTAGGTGTTCTCGCTAGCGACTGCGTAAAAACTGACATTAAATGTATGACAGATTGTACAGAAGCGCTGGACGCAGGCCGCTACCAATCGATCAACGTGGAAAGCAGTGGACGTCCTATGGCTGAAATGATGATGATGATGACGAACCGTTATAAACAAGAAATCTCTGCCCGGAACTAGATTTTTGATTTCGCTCAGACTTTACTGGCTTTTGCAGATGTTTATCTTATCTTTAAATATTGTTGCTAGCTAAAGCCTGGTCCGTGAGCACGTAGAATTTTGTCCAATGACCCCAAGCTACCCATCCTTATCGCTCGCGAGTAATTATGTTGCTGTCGCACTCGCACACTCACTGCGGGCGCGCGTCGCACAGTCGCGACAGCAATATAATTACGCGCGAGCGATAAGGATGTGTAGCTTGGGGTCATTGGACAAAATTCTACGTGCTCGCAGACCAGCAGACTATAGCTAAATATTAATATCTGTCTTACTTCCTACAGGTGAATGGAAGCAACTGACAGTAGCTGTGAAGAGGCTGCGAGCGACAGACGCGAGAGACAGGGAACTCATAAGGGAGCTGTGTCTCAACCAGTACCGACATGACAACATCGTGCCTCTGTATGGATACAGCTGTGGAGGTAAGATTTATTAACGGATTTACATGATGCATCATCATCATCATCATCATCATCTCAGCCATGGGACGTCCACTGCTGAACATAGGCCTCCCCCAATGCTTTGCATGCTGCCCGTTTGGTAGCGGCCTGCGTCCAGCGCCTTCCTGCTACCTTTATGATGTCTTTGGTCCACCTTATGGGTGGACGTTCCACGCTGCGTTTTCCGGTACGCGGCCTCCACTCCAGAACCTTGCTGCCCCGTCGGCCGTCAGTTCTGCGTACTATGTGCCCTGCCCATTGCCACTTCAGCTTGCTAATCCGTCGGGCTGTGTCAGCGACTTAAGTTTGTTTACGGATCTCCTCATTTCTGATTCGATCTCGTAAAGAAACACCGAGCATAGCCCTCTCCATAGCACGCTGTGCAACTTTGAGCTTCTGTATAAGTACATGATGCATGGTGTTTGTTTATGTTCTGTATGGCATGGTGTGATACTTGCTTTGACTACGACGTAACTTTTATGAGCTATCGAAATGCAATTGTATTGTCCCCGAATCTATATTTTGAATGGCAATACAATCCGATGACGTCACTGTTTTTCGAACGCAAATGATTAACGTATATTTGAAGTTAATAAATGTAAACAAAACCTACAAGTGATGGCAGACGTAAGCATTTTTATACTATTGTTTTTTCAACATCAGTAAGTTAATATTTTTGGATCCTAAGAAGGCAATAAGATTCAAAATAACATAAGGCACATCTATACTTTATCCCTCCAGCAGGACTTTCTAAAAGTGCAATGCAATGCTTGCGCTGCTTCTTCTCAGCACTGGCCCATTTATTGTCCCGATCCCGAAGCAGTGGTAGGGTTAATATTGGGACGTGTAAAGTGCTTTTTAAAAGCCTATTTGCAAAAATAAATGAGTTTTATGAGTTTTTTTTAGTTTTTAATGAAATATTATGGAGAAATAGTTTAGACAGCTCATGAAAAGTGTCTCAAAAAACTGGGTGTGTCATATTATTACATGTTCATTCGTTTTAGGTGCAGAAGTATGTCTAGTGTACCAGCTAATGGCGGGCGGGTCTTTGGAAGTGCGCCTGCGCGGCAGAAACAACATAGCGCCGCTGTCGTGGCCGCAGCGGCATAAAATAGCGCACGGTGTTGCCAGGTGAGATAATATTTTATGACTTTAATAATAAAACAATAGTAGTTATGGTATATTAATAGTATTTGTGGTATATTAAAAAGAACTTGTATATTCCCGTTATCTCCTCTAGCTTTATACTTGTGCTAGGGATGTGGATTCAACACAATATAAAATTGCACTGGCATTAACTGGCATCACCGCCAGAGAACAAGATGTGTACAATGTGTGTCACTTTTTTTCGAAGAACACTATTAATTTTTGGTATAGATACAATTTACAAATGTTCCCTTTTATCCCTTCAGGAATACATAATATGCAGGAGTAAAAGTCCACTACGAATATTAGTAAGCTGTTGCTAGTTGTAAAGTTTCAACGCCACTACAGCGCACGCCGGTCCACGTTGTGTTTCTTGTAACATAGAGTTAAATTAACCATTTTACTCATTAAATTTTTTCAGAGGCCTCCAATTTCTCCACACCATGACAAGTACGCCGCTCATCCATGGGGACATCAAGCCAGCGAATATTCTCTTAGACCAGTGCCTCATACCGAAGATTGGTGACTTTGGACTGGCAAGAAAAGGGCCTTATGGAGACAATAGGACACACTTTAAAGTTTCCAGGTAAGTTTATTGGTTATTGGCACAATACTCTATCATTTACGATGAACTTAAAAATTGAATAGATTGGTGATAAAAGAAAATCTTGGTGCTATGCCGAACTTGATGAGAATCGATTAAAGATAAGTTGAAACAAATAAACCTTAGTAAATTTTGGTTCTAGAGCCAGGTTTTGTATACTATGTGGATTTGGTGATAGATTCAATTTAAGAGCGTTTACGTCTAGCGTGGCATGTCAAGTTTAGGTAATTTCGATGCTAGTTTTATTCACACTAAAATAATTATGACTGTGTGCGTGTTCTCACGCTCTATAGTCAAACCAAAATACTTTGATCCACCATAGTAAAAGTGTGCCAGGCTGTCAAGTGACAGACAGCTCAAGNACATTTAATAGCATTTTGCTCATTTTGCAAAGGTTTTAAAATTTGAGCATTTCAAATGCTTTTCCTGAAAAATCGACTTGTTTGTATAGTGACAGTTTGATTATGAACGTGCGAATTATAGAAACAAAAACTACTTGACGGATTTTAACGAAACTTGGTACAATTATTCTTCATACTCCTGGGCAGGTTATAGTATACTTAGGAATTACCACGGGAACGGGAATTAGCGGGAAAATCCCTTTTGTATGAAAAATCTAAACCGCTTAAGTTAGACGCTTGAAAGGCATGCAGGTACCTTAGTAAACTTAAAGCTTAGTTACAACAGGATATTGCAAAATTCCCACGGGAACGGGAGCTAGCGGGAAAAAACTTTTGTATGAAAAAATCTAAACCGCGTAAGATAGATGACTGGGGTAAAACGGGATCCACGCGTACGAAGTCGCGGGCGGCCGCTAGTTTTATATAATTTGGTTGAGCAGTTTTTATTGTATGAGCATTTTTAGTTTTGTTTACCATAGAGGTCATTTTTGCATGTTAATGAACGCGGCGTATGCGCATGTTTTCTTCGATTTCATGTTATCGGGTTTCTATTGAAATTGGATCCACTTTGTTGTTACTACATTTGTTTGATTTGCTTAGAATATCGACTATAGATACCTGTGTTTAAATTGTTATAATTTATAGACATTTTAGCCGCGGCTTCGTCCGCCTGAAATTTTGTCTGTCAAATAAAAACTGTCGAACGCGTCCCTGTTTCAAAAACAGGGTTAAAACTATCCTATGTCCTTTCCCGGGACTCTATCTCTATGCCAAATTTAATCAAAATCGGTCTAGTGGTTTAGGCGCGAAAGCGTGACAGACAATTTCGCATTTATAATATTAGTAGGGATGGAAGATAACCCACTTACAAATTCTTGATTCGCTAAAATAATCTTTACAACTTTCACTTTAAATGAGCAGCGAAATATTTTCGAACATGCCTTTAGCACAGAATACATAAATGTATTTAGTCTAAAGACATTCATTCACAAGGTGTGGTAATCACAATGATGTAAAATTTAATTTTTCTTTACTCCAATACTCAATACTTTGTGTTGTGATGAATGAATATTTATGAATGAGAGCCATTACATTCACAAGAGTATAACGTAAATGTGTTATCTTTTTCCTCAATGATGCATATCCGGTTTTGCTAAAAGTAATCTAATGCACGTTGATGTTTCACTCCTTAATGACTGAGACTATAAAAATAATCAAATTAACTTTTTGTGATGTTTTCGTCACAAACGGTAAATTAGGTACTTAGTTGGTGACGTAGTAAGGAGTTTTATCGTTTCATTCATCTCCCAGTCAAAACCACTTTACTTATTACCAAAAGAATTCAAACACTTTTTACCCGACTGCGCCAGAAGGAGGGTTATGTTTTTTCGAGTGTATGTATGTATGTATGTATATTTCTCTGGCACGGCCTACAGCCTAAACGGCTTGACTGATTTTAGCGTGAGAGGTGTCGTTAGATTCGTCTTAATCGTGAGTGACACTGGCTATATTAAATTTGAAAAAAGAATCAAAATGGCGGGTTATAGGTCCTTTCCCGGGACTCTATCTCTATGCCAAATTTAATCAAAATCGGTCTAGTGGTTTAGGCGCGAAAGCGTGACAGACAATTTCGCATTTATAGTATTAGTAGGGATGGAAGATAACCCACTTACAAATTCTTGATTCGCTAAAATAATCTTTACAACTTTCACTTTAAATGAGCAGCGAAATATTTTCGAACATGCCTTTAGCACAGAATACATAAATGTATTTAGTCTAAAGACATTCATTCACAAGGTGTGGTAATCACAATGATGTAAAATTTAATTTTTCTTTACTCCAATACTCAATACTTTGTGTTGTGATGAATGAATATTTATGAATGAGAGCCATTACATTCACAAGAGTATAACGTAAATGTGTTATCTTTTTCCTCAATGATGCATATCCGGTTTTGCTAAAAGTAATCTAATGCACGTTGATGTTTCACTCCTTAATGACTGAGACTATAAAAATAATCAAATTAACTTTTTGTGATGTTTTCGTCACAAACGGTAAATTAGGTACTTAGTTGGTGACGTAGTAAGGAGTTTTATCGTTTCATTCATCTCCCAGTCAAAACCACTTTACTTATTACCAAAAGAATTCAAACACTTTTTACCCGACTGCGCCAGAAGGAGGGTTATGTTTTTTCGAGTGTATGTATGTATGTATGTATATTTCTCTGGCACGGCCTACAGCCTAAACGGCTTGACTGATTTTAGCGTGAGAGGTGTCGTTAGATTCGTCTTAATCGTGAGTGACACTGGCTATATTAAATTTGAAAAAAGAATCAAAATGGCGGGTTATAGGTCCTTTCCCGGGACTCTATCTCTATGCCAAATTTAATCAAAATCGGTCTAGTGGTTTAGGCGCGAAAGCGTGACAGACAATTTCGCATTTATAGTATTAGTAGGGATGGAAGATAACCCACTTACAAATTCTTGATTCGCTAAAATAATCTTTACAACTTTCACTTTAAATGAGCAGCGAAATATTTTCGAACATGCCTTTAGCACAGAATACATAAATGTATTTAGTCTAAAGACATTCATTCACAAGGTGTGGTAATCACAATGATGTAAAATTTAATTTTTCTTTACTCCAATACTCAATACTTTGTGTTGTGATGAATGAATATTTATGAATGAGAGCCATTACATTCACAAGAGTATAACGTAAATGTGTTATCTTTTTCCTCAATGATGCATATCCGGTTTTGCTAAAAGTAATCTAATGCACGTTGATGTTTCACTCCTTAATGACTGAGACTATAAAAATAATCAAATTAACTTTTTGTGATGTTTTCGTCACAAACGGTAAATTAGGTACTTAGTTGGTGACGTAGTAAGGAGTTTTATCGTTTCATTCATCTCCCAGTCAAAACCACTTTACTTATTACCAAAAGAATTCAAACACTTTTTACCCGACTGCGCCAGAAGGAGGGTTATGTTTTTTCGAGTGTATGTATGTATGTATGTATATTTCTCTGGCACGGCCTACAGCCTAAACGGCTTGACTGATTTTAGCGTGAGAGGTGTCGTTAGATTCGTCTTAATCGTGAGAGTGACACTGGCTATATTAAATTTAAATAATGTCTTGATAAAATTTTTTTTCTCAAATCCTATCGAGTGGGGTATCAAAATAAAGGGCGTTTTAAGTATCTTGTTATAGCGAATGTTCGTAAAGAAAAATTATGAGTTCATCATAAAAAATTGCTTTGCAATAACTGCCCAAATCAGACGCGTATTTGCGAAGGACTGAACTTGACTCGCAAATTCGCAATATTGTTAAACTACCCTAATATTTCAACCCCTTCGTCTCCAGACAACGTCATCAACAGATAGCAGAGAGAACGACATCCGAGCAGAAATCATGCGCAACGTGGCAGCTATACCTATGCTGAAGTACGAAGAACTGAAGGAAGCTACAGGCAACTGGAGCGCAAGCAATTTGCTCGGACAGGGCGGGTTCGCGCAGGTGTTTAAAGGTCAGTTTCCTTTCACATATACTCTTGTATGACTAAGGCCCAGTTTTTTTATTCATAGTTAAAATAACTAAAGCCTGGTCCGTGAGCACGTAGAATCCAGTCCAATGACCCCAAGCTGCCCATCCTTGTCGCTCGGACGTAATTATGTTGCTGTCGCGCTCGCACACTCACTGCGGGCGCGCCTCGCACAGTCGCGACAGCAATATAATTACGTGCGAGCGAATGGGTAGCTTGGGGTCATTGGACAAAATTCTACGTGCTCGCAGACCAGCAGACTATAGCTAAATATTAATACCTGTCTTACTTCCTACAGGTGAATGGAAGCAACTGACAGTAGCTGTGAAGAGGCTGCGAGCGACAGACGCGAGAGACAGGGAACTCATAAGGGAGCTGTGTCTCAACCAGTACCGACATGATAATATCGTGCCACTGTATGGATACAGCTGTGGAGGTAAGATTTTAATGTGTAATTATTTATTTATTTATTTAACCCGGCGTCATTGAGGCAGGGTCAATATGACCCTGCAAGTTTTGCATACGAAAATTTGCTTAGAAGTAATTGCCGCACACAACCGTCTGTCTCAGTAGCTGCAGCAAAGGATCACCCCTCCCCTTCACGTACCTCACTTCAGTCGTCCGTCGCCCGCGCAAGGAGCAACACGTATGTAAACGTGCGACCGGGTAATTATGACCCAGCTCAACGGTGACGTTGCTGTTTTGTGCCGTATTTTTTTTAATGTTTTATTTAGTTTTACTTATTTACGATACTTTATTTTCCGATACTTGTCTAATATGGACCCGGAAGAACGTGAGCGTCGTCGAATCTTGGCGATACTGGAAGAATCCTCAGATAGTGATGAAAATGAACCTTATGCATCTGATTTGGAAAATGAAGATCATGTTAGTGTTCGTAGCCAGGAAAGTGATACCGACCAAGAAGTAAGTGCAACAATTACGTCAATCCAGTTTTTTTAATGTAATGGCTCCAAATGACGACAATTCCGAATCGTCAGACCTCGAGGTACGAGATCCCTTTTATAGCGGGAAAGATGGTACTAAATGGTATAAAATTCTAATGATAGAGAGCATAGGTAGTATAGATTTGATTTAAGTATTATTTTCGTTAGAAACGATATTGCTTTTTGTTGATTAAAAAAAATAAGAAAAGAGTCACAGTTTTGTTGTATAATTAATAGTGTATAAGAAAAATGAAAAATAAAAATTATTGCATACATTACCAATGTGTTTTATTACTGCTATTGATTATATTATACAGTATTTATAATAAATATTAAATTTTAAATATTAAAAATTATTTTATACTAGGTGAAATTGTGACAATTATAACCAGGGTCATATTGACCCACCTCAACGTTAGTGTAACCTTTTTCCGCCACAATGACGCCGGGTTAAGCTTTTATGCCATATAATTGGTACATAAGACGAATTTAATGCCATAAAAGAATTCTCTGCCAATGGGGATGATGACTGGGTAATTATATCGAAATTCTATTTAGTCCGTCAGACAGATAATTAGAAAATATTAGACTCGTATTTTTTTTCCATAATCCAATAATTACAGTATTATATTGAGTTGAAATGTCGCGTGACGTCACTTTTCGTATAAATTCTACTCAAGCGTGACGTATCGCGCCATTTCAACTCGATGTAGCACTGTTATTATTTAATTATGAAGGAAAATAAAAAATATGAGTCTAATATTCTCTAATTATTCTGTCTGACGGACAAATAATTGAAATTTTGTCATCTAGCCTATTAAACTTTTTAGTTTAGTAGTAGTAAAGGCATTAAATTTTGTTTTTAAAAAACTTTTAGAGCTTCAATTTAGTTTTAACTGAAGCAGTTAAAACTAAATTGAAGCTCTAAAAGTTTAAGATCAATTACTAAGAAGAAAAAAGCAAAAATCATGGTGCGAGCGAGAGTCATCTGATCAATATTGATTAGAATGGCCAATGAAGACGAAAGATACAAGCAGCGCCATCATCATCATCATACCATTTCGTCTGCACTGCAGGAGCTCAACAGTAGATATATGAGCTAAAGCAGTACGGAAACTTAGCCCTTTCGGCGAGTTAAATACCTACACTTCAACTGAGTGTTAGGGTTGGCACTCTTAATCTTTATAAAATTAATAAGGTTCTGACTTACTTATTTGTTAAAACGTTTATTTAGGTTTTTTAATTATCAAATAATTAGGTTCTATAATGATTGAATACATAATCGAATAAATTGATTAAGTACTATTAGAGGCTCATAAATAAAATACCGGATACTTACTTTCACATAGCTATTGACTCATTTTAAATACAGTTCATCACTTAGTTAGTACAAAAGCGCGCGGAGCAAATTACTTTATCAAATAGAACACATTAATTGTTAAAAAGCGTAATTACGTAATTTAAAAATAACTATTACAAAATCAGATGTAAGCACTTTATTTAAAAAGTAATATTTATTCATTTTTACAATTCAGAGTTATTACGAAGTTTAAAAAATTAAAGTTCTGGTTTTGAAGATGCCGAGTTAAAGTAACCGTATACTACGCAATACACTCGTGGCATGTTTTTTAAAAATACAGCGGACAGTGCATGCAATAAAATTATTATTAAAAACACAACGCGCGCGACACCCGCGACGGATGGACTGCGAGGTTCGCTTAGAGCTCGTGTAAAGCGTGCGTCTGTGTGCGTGAGTCTGATTTCGAGCGTTTGTATGAAGCTTCCGTACTGTTTGATTTATCTACTGTGGCTCAACCCTCTCTAATATGCCAGAGGCAAAAAGGGAGTTTGGTATACACTCCGTACAGTGGTCATACAGGTTCACTCTGTTATTTAAAGAACACAATATTAAAATTCAAATTCAAAATTAACTTATACTTGATATCGAATAATGTGACCCTGTTAAGTCCTAATATACATACCTATATTTAATTTTTAAAATCTTTCTTCTACCATAACAGGAGCAGAAGTATGTCTAGTGTACCAGCTAATGGCGGGCGGGTCTTTGGAAGTGCGCCTGCGCGGCAGAAACAATATGGCGCCGCTGTCGTGGCCGCAGCGGCATAAAATAGCGCACGGTGTTGCCAGGTGAGATAATATTTTATGACTAATAATAAAACAATAGTAGTTATTTGTGGTATATTAAAAAGAACTTGTATATTCCCGTTATCTCCTCTAGCTTTATACTTGTGCTAGGGATGTGGATTCAACACAATATAAAATTGCACTGGCATTAACTGGCATCACCGGTAGAGAACAAGATGTGTACAATGTGTGTCACTTTTTTTCGAAGAACACTATTAATTTTTGGTATAAATACAATTTACAAATGTTCCCTTTCATCCCTTCAGGAATACATAATATGCAGGAGTAAAAGTCCACTACGAATATTAGTAAGCTGTTGCTAGTTGTAAAGTTTCAACGCACGCCGGTCCACGTTGTGTTTCTTGTAATATAGATAGAGTTAAATTAACCATTTTACTCATTAAATTTTTGCAGAGGCCTCCAATTCCTTCACACCATGACGAGTACACCGCTGATCCATGGGGACATCAAGCCAGCGAATATTCTCTTAGATCAGTGCCTCATACCGAAGATTGGCGACTTTGGACTGGCAAGAAAGGGACCTTATGGAGACAATAGGACACACTTTAAAGTTTCTAGGTAAGTTTATTGGTTATTGGAACTTAAAAATTGAATAGATTGGTGATAAAAGAAAATCTTGGTGCTATGCCGAACTTGATGTTGAGAATCGATTAAAGTTAAGTTGAAACAAATAAACCTTAGTAAATGTTGGTTCTAGAGCCAGGTTTTGAATACTATGTGGATTTGGTGATAGATCAATTTAATGCTGGAACCATTTTTAGTAAATTTCTATAAATAGCCCAGTCTCATCCCTAAAGCGAAGTTTAGTTCCTTCGACTAAATTAGTTTCCAAAACCTTAGTGTTTTATAGTACTAATCCTACCTCTTGTTCTCCCACCATTTCAGTTCAACTTCTATAAAAAGGTTTTTGCGAAGAAAATCTCTAAGCTCGTGTAAAATGAGCTCTGCGCCTTGATATTAAAGGTCAATGCGCTCGGGCAGCCTGACGCCGAAAGTGGGCGTGTCTTGTCATTCTAAAATGAGCTCTATTCCCTTTTCTATTGGGTCCACGGCACGCGTCCCTACCTCCCCGACGAATATCTTCGCTCGGGCTGTCTATCACCAGCAGTGGACGTGTTTTCCTTCGGTGTGGTGCTATTGTAACTAAAGCCTGGTCCGTGAGCACGTAGAATCCCGTCAAATGACCCCAAGCTGCCCATCCTTGTCGCTCGCACGTAATTATGTTGCTGTCGCGCTCGAACACTCACTGCGGGCGCGCGTCGCACAGTCGCGACAGCAATATAATTACGCGCGAGCGATAAGGGTGGGTAGCTTGGGGTCATTGGACGGGATTCTACGTTTTGTTTTTTCATTGCTCACGGACCAGGCTTTAGCTACGAGCCTTTGCATACCGCTCGTTCTACAACGAGCTCTATGCCTTATTGTTAAGGATCAATGCTGCCTGACGAAGAAAGGGCGTGTCTGGTCATGGTCATTCTATAATGAGCTCTATTACTTGTTGTTAGGGTCCACGGCACGCGTACTTATACGAGTATCTTCGCTCGGGCTGTCAGCTCGCTCTTAATACCTGCTCATTCTAAAATGAGCTCTGAGCATTATTGTTAAGGTTCATTGCGCTGACGCTACTCACTCTCAGAAGAAATTATTTTTGTGCCTTGTTGCTTGCTCGTTCTAAAATGAGCTCTATTTCTTTTTGTTAGGGTTCACGGCACGCGTCCCTACCTCCCCGACGAATACCTTCGCTCGGACTGCCTTTTGCCAGTATGGGCGTGTTTTCCTTCGGCTTCTAGAACTGGCTACGAGTCTTTGCATACCGCTCGTTCTAAAATGAACTCTTGTGTGTTGTTGTTAAGAGTCAATACGCTCGGACTGCCTACTGTTCTTAAGTAAACTATGTACTTTGTTCTTAGGGTTCCTGCGCGTTCTAAAATGAGCTCTATTCCTTCTCATTAGGGTTCACGGCACGCGTCCCTACCTCTCCGACGAATATCTTCGCTCGGGCTGCCTATCGCCAGCAGTGGATGTGTTTTCCTTCGGCGTGGTGCTATTGTAACTAGCTATGACCCTTTGCATACCGCTCGTTCTACAAGGAGCTCTATGCCTTGTTGTTAAGGATCAATGCTGCCTGACGAAGAAAGGGGGCGTGTCTGGTCATGGTCATTCTATAATGAGCTCTATCACTTGTTGTTAGGGTCCACGGCACGCGTACTTATACGAGTACAACTTCGCATAATGACAACTCAAGAAGAACTAGAACTCTAGAAATAATGAAAATAAAATATCAACAAGTAGTTGACATGATGCGAAGTTGACCAAATGCGAATTTGTCATTGTGAGAAATAGACATTATGAGAAGTTGTCTTTTAGCGAAGTTGACATTTTAAGAAGTTGTCATTTCGAGAAGTGGACATTTTGCGCCCCGGTTGTCATTTTGAGAAGTTGTCATTCCGAGCTGAAACGCTTGTTGCTTGCTCGTTCTAAAATGAGCTCTATTACTTGTTGTTAGGGTCCACGGCACGCGTCCCTACCTTCCCGACGAATATCTTCGCTCGGGCTGTCTATCACCCGCAGTGGACGTGTTTTCCTTCGGCGTGGTGCTATTGGAACTGGCCACGAGTCTGAGGCCGGCGGATGCTTCGCGTCCCATACAAAAGCTGGCGGACTTCATGAGAGTGCAGAAGGAGCAGCGACAGGACACGGGTAAGCCACAAAATCCTTATTTAGGCTAACTCACGGCGCGATTTTCACCCGCGCCCGCGGCGGTTGTGGAATTGCGGTTTTATTTCAAAACTCACAGCGGTTATTTGCGCGGTT